GCTTAAAGTTCCCAAGGTTGAGAAATACTGATCTAGATCTACAGCTGGCCCACGTGCTCCAAATTTCAGCATTCCTTTCATTTATTAAAAGTATTTTGAATGCCACTTCTCATGGCGATGAATCCTGAAGTGGTTTCCAAGTCCAATTCATACTGTCCGGAGACATTAAAAGCAAGCCACGGGGGGAAAAATGGAGGAGGAATTAATTAATTAGGGGCTGGAGAAGGCCAATCGAAAGACGGAGGGGTTTTAAAAGATGGCGAGAGCGTACAAGGGAGTCTCACAGAGGGGAAACCATAGGACAGGCTATTATTACAGGTATACCCTGAGTTTCCTTGCGCGACCAATAGATGTGGATTTCGGGGGTTGGACTAGATGGTCTCCCCAACCCCTTCCACCCTGTCCTTCTAGGATTCGGTGCAGAGCAGGTCCCACCGCTAGCTGTCTTTACCTGTATCTTCCCCGTCTTGGCGGCCAAGGTGAGCGGGGTCAGCCCTCTGCGGTTGGCGATTTCTTCCAGCCTGAGCGTGGGGTTGATGCTGGCCCCCAGGATGAGCACCTCGTTGTACATCTTGGTGACAAACTTGGTGTTATCCTCGGTGTTGTCGGCAATCTCCACCAGGGCGTGGAGAATGGTGTTGCCCATCGAATCCTGCTCGGCGATGTTGGCGGAGTGGTAGGCGTTCTCCAGGAGGTACTTGACAATGTTGAGCTGGTTGGTGCAGGCGGCTAGAGAGAGAGGAAGCTCTCCTGCAGGCCGAAACCCACAGGGAAAGACACCGCTGAGGGCTGGGCAGGGGCGGAGAACACGAACGCCCCTCTTGCTTGGTTTAGGTGGGGTGAAAACGAATATGCCCAATACGAGGCGGATAAACAGAGGACCTCTGGTAATTATAGCCATTTCCCTTTCCGACATGTTCAAAGTGATAATTCTGGGGCAACTTCGGGGAAAGTTCAGGGGTGCCCCCCAAGAGTTTCGGGGAGCAGCATGGGGCTCACCACGCTCCATCAAGGACAGGCTGATCCCAGAACAGAGGGATCAATCACAGCCTCTTACAGAGCACGGCAGACGAGGGCTTTTTCGGACGGGCACAAGAACTCCAAAGTTGGCACCCGATTTTACCGAAATAGAATCCAGTCTTCCCCTTGATCTTCTGGAAGAATTCCCCGTGGGCTCTCACGTGGACGTCCGCCCCGTTCTTGACCAAGAGGTTCACCAGATACATGTTGCGTCTCTCAATGGCGATGTGGAGGGCCG